CATGGCCAGGTTCAACAATCTGTCAGCAGGTTTGGGGTGTCGGCCCGCAATCAGCATCTCCAAAATGTCCCCAGTGAGTATGGATGGGTAGATACACCACCCTCCAATGCCTCCATACACCGGGTCAGCACAGCTTGGCGTCGTAGCTCAACTTTTGATCCATCCCACATAACCAGTTCTGTTCACCAGAGTTGGCTTACCCGGAGCTGGTCAGTACGCAGCTCAACGTTCGGCTCTTTTTTAGGTAAGCTCCCTCTTCTTATTTCACTCTCTCTCTCTCTCTCTCTCTGATAGGCTAAGCAAGTAGGAATGAATCTTCCCCTGGATCACGGAAAGGTGCAAATGCTACTTCTACACCCGAATCCGGGCGAATATGAAATGAACCTCCTACTAGAACATGGCCAGGTGCTCGACCGCTGGACGCTCCACCCCCGCCAGGTAAGTATTTCGTTCTTCCTCTTTCAATCCTACTCCTCCCTTTCTACCCTTCCTCCTCCGTTTCGTCACCCCTCTTGCTGCTCCAATCGCCTCTCCTTTCTCTGTTTCTTGACAGCCACTGCGCCCTTCTTGTCCCTCTCCGGATTCCCTCTCACCATGGTCGCGCAGCCTATACCACAGATACTGCTTAATCCATTCATCCTACGTGAGATCCAACCCCGCCATCAGCCTCGCCTTGCCTCGAAACCCTGGAATCGAATCCTCACTCGCCTATTTCCCTCAAGAAACGGGCGAGTTACATGAGTTTCAGTTTTTTTTTACCCCACCACTCTTATCGCCATCTCAGCGCCCGTCTTTTCTCATCTAACTCATCTCCTACCTAACTAACACCCAAACGACCACTACCACTATGCTCGCCCGGTCCAAGAACCCGGGTCTACTCTCCCCCTGTTTGTTTTCGCCAGAGCACGAGCGGGGTATAGCAGCTTACTCCCGCCATAGCCCCCATTTGTCTCGCTGCCTTCTCCTCCCTTACCTCTAGCTGTACCTGGCGCTAAATCGTGCCCAGGTGCATCTGCCTCCCTACCAACCAGCGAATCATGGGACGTACTTCACTGTCGCCGCGCTGCTTTCCCCAGCACCACCACCTCTAGCCCACTATCCCATAGTGGCACACCATCCTTCTACTTTGATGTACCTGGGCCGGACCCCAACCAGGTTTGTGCTCCTTCTTCCCACCGTTCTACTGCCTCTACCTCGCCCCCTCTGCAGATGGCGTGCTCTGTTCTGTCGCCAATAGCACTGCCCCACCCCAGCCATGGCGGTCAGAGGGGCACGAGGAAGATGCCCTACGTATGCGCCCACCAGAATAGCGCAGCAGGGAGCGACATGCTCTCCACCGAATTCGTCATGAGAATACAACCAGCCGGAACCCCTTCGTCGTCGGCCCTCAGCCTTTTCTACTCGAACTCTCTCAGCAGTTCCCCTTCTAGCCTATCTGTCCATCCATACTGCCAAATCTATGGCCAGTCTTCCAAGTCCCCCCCTACATGCACCTAGATGGGAACCTCTACAAAGGGAGAGAGAAAAAAAAAAAAAAAAAAAAAAGGGAGAAAATGAAAACTAGTAAAAACAGAAACAAACAAACCCATGGACCTACCTAATTCCAATGAAAAGCGGAAGAAGAAAAAGAGAAACAAAACAAAAACAGCCGGTCTAAAATAAAGAAAACAGGACCAGCCTGTCAAGTAAGGGCCACCAGCCTACCAACCATGGTTTGAGGATCAGGCCCGGTGACCCAACCTGGTGGGCTAAGAATACCAATCCTTGACCCCGGAATCAACTCCCGCCAGGTCCAAACCAGAGAGAGGCAGCAGACATGGTTGGGTACAGCCCCTCATCAGCATGCCGCGGGCCATGCTAATCTGCTCTGTATCGTTCCAATTTTAACGGATGTCTCGAAGGACTGTTCCCTGATAGCGGTAGCCCCGCAGTAGCCCAGCAGTGGCCAAGCAGTTTGTGGGTGTCTCCACTGAACGATGCCGCTAGGGCTTCCTGCAGGCCCCGGCGCTGGTACAGGACCTCATTCTCAGATAACAGCAACAATAGGAAAATGAAGAAAGTAAAAAAAATAAAAATAAAACATATAAAAAAAAGTCAAACTCAGAAAAATGAAAAAGGGTTAAAACCCGGATGCGGGAGAGGACCATTGGTACCTGGGCCTCGGCCTCACCTCTCGGGCCCGCGGTCGGAACCCCCCGCCAAAACCAAGGGGGATAGTCTCGTGGGACCGTCCACCCCTCATCCTTCTCCTTCGACATGCTCCGCTGCCCCACCGCTCTGCTCTGGCCTTGATCACGGGATCCACCTGGTACTAATCTAATGACATAACCTATAGGGCTAAGCCCCAGCCTGGCACAGCTGCAAGCCAGGTTCACTATGAAGAGTGGCGCCCGTTAGGTCAGCCTGTAGCAGAGTATCATAGGCCGTCGGTTCGATTTATTGTTGGCGCCTCAGGCCACACAATGTCGTGCTGGCTGCCTCAAGGCTGGGCTCCGCTTGGCTCGCTATGTCCATCGCCCTTCATGCCGCGGTCGCGACCCGAGGCTCTCCTAGCCCGCCATGATCGGCCCTCTTTTCGCCGCTCGCCGATAACCCCCGGACTTTAATTCTAGGTCGTGCCGCTCCCAGCGGCGGCTCATACTATAGACTAGGCATGGTCATTCTAGTGCCCACGAGTATCCCACACGGCGCCGTTTTGCACGTCGGCCTCTACTAAGTCAGACAACACCCTCCTCTAGTCACTGCCCCACCTGGTCAAGGCGACGCCGTCCTTACTTTAGCCCGTGCGTGCGAGGCTGCGACCGCCTCAGAAGCTCTAGCCTACCACTAACTTTCTCTACCAGTGCCTTACGGTCCGTCCTCGATCCAGATTAGGTCGGGCTAACGCGTGCCCACGAGTGCACGCCCACACACTCTCTAATTAATACAAATGGGACATGCCCCTAGATATCGCCAGAAGCGTTATTCCTGCGAGCTGCAAAAACGTGCCCAAATACCCTTGTAAGGGTATTCAAGGGTATTTGGGCCGACAGTCTTCCGGACCTTATTAAGCGACGTCCCCGTCGCGTCGGATAATCATCGCTATAAACACAACCATATCTTGCTGACAAGGAAGCGACCAATCCAGTTCACTGACTCGACTCCGTTTGAGGTTGTCTCATCAACCTACTCCCGTCACGACGTTCCACTGCCAGGATTTCAACCTGGGTCTCTCACGTCCTGGCCTCGGAGCTAGGGGATACTTTGTTCCGTACTACAGCGTACTATCCGCTCCCAGGTAGTAGGTTGATAGTCCTCTCCCTTCGTCGTAGACATCTGCCGGCTCACCGTTGGGTGTCCTGTATAGTCATCGTCCCGCGAACGGGGTCATAACATAGGACGCGGTCCCTAACCGAGACCTCTCAAAAACACAGGGCGCCTTCAGTCGCTCACATGGTAGTGTCTACCATCTCAAAGCACAACGAACGTCCAGCCTGAAGTCTAACACAGGCGGCTTCAGGTCTCCATCTTGGCCCACCATGGACCGGTAGATCACGCCGAGTCCACGACCCACCGCATTGTTATGTAGCGGTGGTGCCCTCATTGGTTACGCAACGATAAGCAGTTTTCCTATCTTGGCACCCAAAAAGGGTTCTGACTCTTGACCTAATCGACCCCAATGACCTTTCCTCTAGCTAAGCCTCTCCGAGTGGCCGACCCTTCAAGACTTAACCTTTGGTAAGTCATGGTCCTGCTGCCAGGTTGTGTCGGTCAGCGGCCCTCGCTAGGAGCTAGGTTCTACAGTTCCAGCGATGCTAAGTATAGCCCCTTAGCTCGGCCTCACAAGACGTCCCTTAGACTGACTCCACTGTGGTCTGGCACTTTCTTTCAAAAGTCTTCAGAAATAACCAAAGGATCACATACCCCTGCCCACGGGACTACGTGGAGGGATAGTGCCCTTCTCAATATTTCATCAAAAAATCATCGATAATTCAACAGGGTCGTGCCTCCCTTACTCTGATAAGAAGCAGGTGAGGTCACGCGTCCTTTTAGGGATACTCACAATATTCTCCAAGTTCCAACATAATTGCCAAAAATTTCCAACTATGATTTTCACAAAATCTCTGGTCTTTCCTCGCCAGACTTTTACATACATACAAACATTATCATCACTTATAGTGACTCTTTTGAGCGCTCTCCTAAAATTTCATCGTGTTAAGAAAATTCAATCGGCCATTGGACTTTCCTCTCTCTTTTCCGATCAAAAACACACAACTTTAGTTGTGATCTTTCCATTCAACATTATCTGGGCAAAATACATCATGTCATCATTGCCTCCATAATTTGAGAACACTTTCTTCCATTATACTCCTGGCTCCACTTGTCATGGGGACAAGGAGGCGTAAGTACAGTGGAAGAAACGCAGATCAATTCATTCCACAGTATTCATCTCATCACACCATCATGCATATGGGCAAGTCCACAAACTGAGAGTAAGTGTGACACAACAAACACAACACAAGGCCGAGGTTCGACACTCACATATAAACCTAGGACATGGGGCCCCGCAATGAGCAAAAAGGTCCCTGCCCTTATTATAGAACCCAAGGTATTATACAGAGAGTTCAGGTAAAAAAAATCAAGGCATCCAAGTGTTGAAGTATCATAACTCGACAGTCGCTTCTTACTCGCGAACGTTATTCTACAAGGGTATTAACACTCTACAACACATTAGCGCAAAAAAGAAAAATAGTCAAAACCAGTGTCATCTTATATACAGAAAAAGGTTCTGAAGTCTATAACGCGATGTAACATCTCACTACTGGCTCAGCCTACTGATGTACATGGGTCTGATCCAATCCTCCATGTATCCCTCTATATACAAGTAGTCATCCGTCTGAGAGTCAGAGTAGTCCCGCATACGTTAGACTTTAGACCTTTCCGGACCTTATTGGAGAATCCTACTCCTGATCACTCATGACCTCCTGCAGCTGCCTATACAACTGCGCCCTCACCCCATCACGAGTCTTAGGAACTAGGACTCCATTTCTATCTCTCCATACCCCCGATGACTCTCTGGTTCACAATCCATTTGCCTCGTCCTTGAGGCTCTTGGGGCAATCGTCTGATCGATGTTTGCCCCTCTTGCAATAAAAGTACTTGCCAAGTTTCTTCTGGGACATCTTGTCTCCTTCCAACGAGGGTACAGATGACGGGGTTGTTGAGATCTTGCTCGTAACCTCCTGCTGTAGGACCCCTGAGGAAGCGGGGCAGGTTGCTCTGTCATCTGCTGGCATCCCCAGCTCCCCAACACGCCCCTCTGGCCCTGACCCAGTGACCCAAGATCCCAGTACATCCCACAAATCTGTAACAACTGGCACCTCCTGAAGCATGGTTGACTCCTGAAAGTCCCTCAGGTCCACTTTCTGCTCAGTCTCAGCCATGATCCGGCCCACACTCTCGTGACCCTCCTGCTGTCCCACAGTCTCTTTCCGAATAGCAGGTCGAACCTCCCCAGCTCTCATTGCCTCAACTGGTGGTCCCTCCTGTGGTACTGCCGGCTCGTGTTCCAGTGTCAGGCCAGCAGGTAACCTCCACTCAAGCTCTCCGACCTTCGTGCCTTCCTCTGCTAGTGCCTCTTACGGTTCCAACATCTCCTTGTCGATCAGAGGGATTTCCTTACCCTCCTGCTGGTCTGCCTTCTCCACTTCCTTTTCCTTCTTGAAGACCTCCTCTGCAGGTTTGGACCTCTGTCCAATCCACCACTCTAGTGGGGGCTTGCTGGGCATACTTGGCTTCGAGGTCTCGAATTCTCTTCTCCCACTCAGTCTCCTTAACCTGGGAGAAGGTCAGTTGTGCACACAAATAGGCCCTCAGGGCGTCAGTGACCTTGTTAAGGGTCTGGTTGACTTGTCTGACGGCCTCATTCTCTGCTGAGACCTTTTCCATGTCTGCCTTAACTGCCTCCAACTCTTTGCCCTGTCTTTCCAGCTCCTTCTTCAGGTCCTCAGCTTCTCTTTCCCAGTCCACTCTCTGACTATATGCCTTTTGTGCCACCTTTGTCAGTCTGTCCCCAATCTTATGATATGATGCCCTGGCTGCCGCGAAGCCTTCTCTCATCACGCCCTTCAGGTTGAGTAGGTCTGTAGAGACCAACTTAACCCCCCTCTCCTCATGTTGTCCCCCTGATCTTCTTGTGGCGTCCATCAGCTTATCGAAGCCCATCCAGACCTCTGTCCTCCACCTCCTCAGCCGTCTTTCCTTGCTGCATCCTCTCATGCAGTTCTGCCAGGTTCTTCTTTCGGAGTTGAGTCCTGATCTCCAGCTCCCTTGCCGCCCTCACTTCTCTGTCCAGCTCCTTTTCATCACCAGACGGTTCCTCCCTCAGCTCTTGCGTATGCATCTCGTGAGGGATGTCTGGCTCTGCATCAGGCATGAGGCCATCCATTTCCCTCTGAGCAGGTTGTGGAGGTGCGTCTGAACCATCGGACCCCTCTGCTCTCTCATGTCGGTGGGACTTGTGTTCCTTCCTCCTTTCCTCCCTCTGAGCCCCTGGTGACGCGCCCTGCTCAAAGGTTCCCCTTGCCTCTGTCTCAGGTTCCCTTCTCCTTTTTTCCATACCTCTCCTCTCACTTGCCTGACGAGCTAGAGTATAATAGTTGCATAGCAGCTTCTTGCAGTGCCCCCAGTTCTTGGCAGATGCTACGATAGATCGAACAAAGGGTCTGATGTGGGGCCTCACGAACAAAAGGAAGCTCCCCACCCTCTGCTCTCCTGGGGTATCGAGCTCATCTGCATACCGATCATAGGCCCATAGGAACTACCCTGGGTTAGTGGAGTCGAACCGAATGGGTTGTCCATCCCTTCCCAGTAGTGACGGATGCATACCTTCCATCTTCCGCCCAAAGTCTGGCCAACTCAACGACTCTATGACCAGGTTGGCAATGGGGTCTGCCCACTCGCCTATGCCTCGTACCTCTCTTAGCATCCTGGTGCTGTCCCACCCAAACTCTCGTGCATGCCGCTCGAACTCCATCAAGAACAACTCGATGTTCCCTCCCAGGAAGACTGGAGGCCTGTCCTCTCTCCTGGTCCTCATCTGCGTCCTCTGTCGAGTTGCCCCCAAAGGGGTTTCCACTGGCCCTGCCCCTCCCCTCCCTCTTGGCATGGCTGCCCCAAGCGGTATCAAGCCTGCACAACAGGGAAGAGGCGAACAGAAGCACACAGAGGGTAAGCGATGTCAGACAAAACACAACAGGAGACAGACATAACCCTCCCACACCTATCTCAACTACCTACCTACACACACATACGCATACATAGTCATACACACATGCAAGTCTAACCACAACCTATCACGCTATTCTACTGAGGGCAGCACCCGAAGTAGCCACTAGATGACTTTAAGTGGTGGGATCCCTGCTCACCTCGTCTCGAGCCACGAACTTCTTTAGCCTCGAGCCTGACACCCAGTCCTTCCATGCCGTCTCATTCAGCTCTTCGATTTGGTAGGCACCATGTTCACCACATCTGGTAACCCTGTAAGGCCCCAACCACCTCTTATCCAACTTCCGCGACCACTGCTTTTCCAGGGACGAGTCGTACAACAGCACAATGTTTCCCACCTTGAGAGGCTTCTTTCTTACCCTCGCCATCTTGTCCCACCGGAACTTGTCCTTGGTACGGCTGTCCGCGGTTCTACTTGCTGCCTCTTCAATCCTATCCTCAATAACGCCGATCTGTCGTGCCCTCAAATCCAGCAGTTCCTCAAAGGTCAGATCAGTCTCGAGGTCCTGTCGCCTCCAAGTTTTCAGGAAGCTTTCAATGGGAAATGTCGCATGCCTGCCTTACCATATCGTAGCCAGTGCATAGCCAGTGCTCCTCCTGATAGTGATGTTATCCATGAAAAACGCGACCCTTAGAAAGTTTGGCCATTGGTTGGGTCTGCCATCGGTCCACTTGGCAAGAAGATTTGTGATGGTGCTATGTCCCCTCTCCACTGGTGCATTGGCTTGGGGGTGTGTTGCAGTAGTGTACTCAGCAATGACCCCATACTTCTTCAATTGAGCCTTTACTTCCACACAGGTGAATTCGGACCCCCTATCCATCACAAACCTAGAAACAAAGGGGTAGCGAAGATAATATGCGTCGATGCATCTAGCCAGCGTCTCGCCAGTCTTTGTGCGAATGGCCCTGCCATCCACAAACCCAGAGAGGTTGTCCCGCACATCAAAGATGAAGTTATAGCTCCCTATTCCCAGTGGCATTGCCAACAGATCCAGATGTACGACGGCTCCAACTTCACAGACGTACCTTGGGTGAAGTGGCTCTCTAGGTCTAAGAGTAGACCGTTCTTGGCATGGTACACAATACTTACAATAGTCATCAATCATCTGCCCCATGTCATCCCAATAGTACAACTCGTGGATCTTCACGTATATCGTATCCGCACCTTTGTGACCACCTGCCGTACCGTCGTGCAGTGCCGCCATAATGTCAATCTGGCGAGCGACGCCGCAGACTACTCTCCTGGGATCCCTTCGTTTGCTCCTCATGAACAGATGGTCATCCCTTACCAGGAAGTTTGGCCTCATTTTCAGAACTATCGCGCAGGCATCCCTTTCCCTTATCTCGCACGAAAGAAGCATGCCGAGTTCAAGGTATACTCCCTCATACTCCTCTGCTCGAAACGCTTCCTTGATCTCCCCCTCTTCGAAGTCATCATCTTCTCTCTCATGAATCACGTTGTCACCTCCTCCCGGCTCTATCTCCTCTTCCTGGTCTAGTACCGTATTTCTGACCATCTCTTCCTGAAGCAGCGCATTTGTCAGCAGGTACACCCCACCTATCATCTTTTCGTGCTTACCCACTTGTAGCATCCCATTTTCAATTCTAAGCGGGTCTTCCTGTAGCTCGTGCTTACCTGCTAAGGCCAGCTCCATCATCCAACCTACGCCCGACATTCCCCAAGAATCCTCTTCAATATAAGGTTTGAGGACCAAGTTTGGCCGTCGCACATGTCCTGGAGGCGCAAGCCATACGGGCCGCCAAGGAGTAACATACTTACCTACGGTTAATGCCCAGGAGTTGATGTGAAGTCTTACATTCTCCTCGCTGTCCAGGAACCCGTCAACCGGTGGAGTATCCTCGATCACTCCTTGATGGTTCTTGTCCCAGTCGACTCGGTTCAGCCTGTCCGCCCTATTCTTGGTCCCAGGAATTCGCTCCAACTCGAAATCAAACATTCAGATGTACGTCAGCCATCTGGCGATAGTTGGATCTGACGGAGCGAAGTTCTTGAGAGAACCAGCCAGAGCCGTAGCGTCCACCCTCAATACGAACCTATTGCCAAAGAGGTAGTTTCTGAAGATCCTCAAACAGTGAAGAACCGTCAAGGTTTCGCGCTTGAACTGAGAGTAGTTCCTTTGAGACGTATTGAGCGTCCGACTTTCAAACCTTAGTGGTCGTTCCTCGCCATTGGGATCTCGCTGGATTAACACACCTCCCAACGCAGTTGGCCCTGTGTCTGTCTCTACAATGAACGGCCTGGTCATCACCGCCGCATGGTCCGGTACCCCCAATACTAGACCTCCTTCCTCAAACTCCTTCTTCAGGTCTTTTATCACCAACTCTTGTCTGTCTCCCCATTCCCAGTCTTGTCCTTGACGCACGAGCTTTCGTAATTGCTCCGTCTTTGCCGCAAACCCCTTAATAAAGATCCTCTAAAACCCACACGTGCCCAAAAAACTTCTCACCTCCGTGATAGTCTGGAACGGTGTTGGCCATTCGAGAATCTTGTTAGTCTTCTTAGTATCTGGCCGACGACCCCTTTCGTCGCACACAAATCCTAAGATAGTGGCACCACTCATGCAGTGCCTCGATTTTGGCCCACTGGCAGTGAGGTTATGCTCCTTCAAGAGATCCAGGACTTGCACAAGTCTTGTACATGATCCCACACAAAGCGCCTGATTCATGGCATCACCTCCTGCTCATCCTTCTTCTTCAACCCTTTCACGACCAAATCATCAATGTAAGGCTGAGTGATGTGAGGGCTTACTGGCTGCATCGCCCTCACCATGTGCCTCTGGACCATGGCGACCGCATTCGTCTACCCCTGTGGCGCGACGTTCATGTGGATCAACCCTCGAGGGGTATGCATCGCCGTCATTGGTCTGTCAGATGGGTATACAGGAAACTGGTCATAACCAGAATATAGATCTATCAGAGATATAATGGCCCTCCCTGCGCATGCCTCGGAAAGCGCATCTGCGTTAGGGAGACCACATGCGTCTCTAACAGTCACAGCATTTAGGCGCTGCAAGTCCTGTACCCACCTCAACGTCCCATTTGGCTTAATAAAGCAAAACCAGGGGGATGCATAAGGCCCGCTCGAGTAGTCTGATACATGCGTGCGGATCTTCCCATCTAGGTAGTTGACTACCTTTTCCTCATCAGCTGGATTAGGATATCGTGCACCCCGCAAATTCCACGGCTCATGCGGCACGGTGTGTATCCTAATCATGGGGATTTTATCCACGTCCAGACGTCCTCTCTCATCATCATTGAAGGCATATGCAGTGTGCTTTCCTCTTATGGTGTCCACCATAAGCTTCTCTTCCTGCGCTGTAAGGAAGCCAGGCTCCCCTATAATCAGCGCCTTCTCGGTCTCCAGGTTGATACGACATAGCATACTCTCAGCATTCTCCCGCATCTGCCGTATCAATTCTCTCTCCCGCTCGTAGTATACTTCCTTTTCCTCAGCTACGAGCACTGGAACAGGGCGGCACTTTTGATCTACCTTTTTGTACTGCCTTTGAGATCCCTGTTTGAGCCCACCTCTACAAAAGGCCGAGTCGCGCTCTGAGGCTGTGCTCCACTCATTCCACCTACCTTTCCGGGCGTCCGATACACTAGTTTCATTTCTCCTGCACCCATTTGCTCCCCCACCTTCTCTCTCAAGGCCTCCACAGCCTCAGGGTCTGCCATCCCATAGGTCGATACTATATCCATAGCATCCCCTATGTTTGCCAGGCTCAATGTCAGTACCTCCGGCTCTCTTCTCATCTCATACTTGTTGGTTTCAATCCTTAATCTTTCCTCTTCTGACTCCTCTATAGTGAAGGAACCAGGGTTGGGCCGGTTCCTTATGCTCCTAGGTCCTGTGTTCTTGCAAGTGATGACCTCGTAGTTCCCACATACGGGGTCACATAGGACGAGGAACATAGTTTCATCGTGTTTGTTGAGGATGACCGTCTCTGTCCGACTTAGGAACGATCTCCCAAGTAGAATAGGGTGGTCCAAGTCAGGCATCACAAAGAAGCAGTTCCTTACTTTCACCTTTCCAATTTCCAATATTACTGACGACGCGGTCCCAATGAATATCGATCGGCTATTGACCCCCATMAAAACCCCGTTGTCAGAGCAGTCTATCTCCATTCCCAGCCGTACGGCATGTTCCTCCTTTATGAGGTTCATTTCCGCTCCACTGTCCACCATTGCGGTGCATGTCTTCCCTTTTACCACAACGTCGAGGCAGCCATAGACGACAGACTTTCATTCCATCTTAGTACCCGTCTCAGCCCACTCAGCCTCCTTAGGGATTATGGTCCCCAATCGTATGCTGGATACCATCTTCCTGGATAGTCTCGCTCTTAACTCATCCCTAAGTCTAGGCGCTGAGGTCAGGACATCCTTCAGGTTCATAAGATGATTATGACCTTCGAGTATCCTGTTCATTATCTCTTCCACATCGAAGTCTTCTTCCACCCTGACGGCGTACTTCTTCTTTTTTACTTCTTGTGCCTTGTCTGTATCACGCTTGACACCTCTCTTTTTGGCTCGTTGTTCAGCCTTCTCATCCTCCTCTTTCCTCAACCTGTCATCCTCATCATCCTCTTCCTCTGGAACGTCCACAACTTCCTTCTCTCCACTTGGTTCAGGAACATCCTTGGCTGGTTCTTCGGGAATCACTGGCCCTTTAGCCCTCGTTCTGACGGCGTACAGTGTCCTCCCCGTCCTGGAAGGTGGTCTGAAAGTCATTCCTGATCGAGGCGTCGCTCCTGAGGTCGTAACGTTTGGTAGATTCCCGGATCCTCCTTGCGACCCCGGACCTAAGTCGTAGAGGTATACCGATGGCTCCTTACCTTGCCACCCCTTGACTTCTTCGCACATATCAGCCAGCTTCTGTTGGTATCTCCCGACTTTGTCTATCAGGTCCTCCATTCTCTCCATTGTCTGTCAGGCCGTTCTCCAATAATCTCCCCCTGTCTCAGCATGCAGCGGCCTGTTCCAACAATCTTCCTCAATCTCATCGTCGGGCTCCACTATGATCGGTTTTATCTTAGTAGTGTCGGCCTTCCATTCTTGCTCCACCTTTGCGTTCTCTCCTACCTCCTCCACCCTGGCGTCACTACGGACCTCTTTCTCCTGCCATATCCGAAACATGGCTGGAGGTGCGGGTGACTCACCGGCCTCAGCCCTTCGCAGGGCTTCCTTCCTCGTACCGTCTGGAATCTTCGGGTCAAGGTGGTACCCCCACTTGTCGTACATGTCTCCATCATAGTTGGTGCTAATTAAACCTTCGTCCTCGTCGTTCCTCCTGACGTGGCAGAACTTAATAGTGTGGCCTTTCTGCCCGCAGAACTTAATAGTGTGGCCTTTCTGCCCACAATGCCAGCAAATGGCATTTCTCCAGTCTACTCTCCCTCTGCCAGCACCTCTTCCACCCTCTTGACCGCCTTGACTCCCGGATGCCGTCCAACCCTCGTTTCCGCCACCTGAAGTGTTACCACCACCATTCCCTCTACAATTTCCTCCACGGCCACCATTCCCCCGTCCTCGGCCCCACCCTTGGTTTTGTCCACGTCCACCCCCTTGATTGCCTTGCAAACCTTGTGAGGCTGACTGCTGGGGTTGGTTTGGCAGTGGGTTCGGGTGGCTCACTTGTTGCGCTTGGGGTCCCGAGCAGCCACAGGAAGCCGCGCTCATTGATGGTCCGGCGCACGACCCATGCGGCCCACTCATTGGCCACGGGGCGTATGAACAGTGCCCATGCCAATGACTCGAAGGTCCACAACTTAGTCATGGCCCATAGTGAGTTGGTGCAGCCTGACTGGGCGACTCAGGAGGTGGCATGGCTACAGCTTGCAGGACCTGCCCCTTTCCTGAGCCCTGCCCCACTTGAGCCAAGTTCCTTGCCTTTCTCTGAGCCTTGGTCAACTTCTGTGGCTCATGCTCCTCTTCCTCTTCCTCCTGCACCACTGCTTTCTTTGCCTTCCCTTGGGTCTGTGGTGCCGCCATAGTTTTCCTTTTTGCCTCTTTCTCTGCATCGAGTTGGGCCACTGCATCTTCTATGAGTTTCTTAAAGTCTCGCCCGCCGCTCATCGTAGCGTCCAAGGCCTTTCTTTTCTTCCTAGTCTGTCGCATTTGGAAAATGTCTACTTGGTCTAGCTCTCCTTCTATTACACCCTCCTTTATGGCGGCCTAAGTGAGCTTCTTTCCCGGCGCAGCCTTCTTGGTTAGCAACGAGGCCTCCCAATTCTTGAAGTGCCCCAGGAAAGTGACACATTGTTCTTCTTCCGCCAATCCGGGGACTTTCTTGGCCATCTTCTCAAATGCCGTTGCGAAAACTCCCACCGTGGAGAACTCGTCCCGCTGTAACATCTCCAAATTTGTCTTCGTTAACAAGCCATCCCCTAACTTGAACCGCCTCTGCATTTCTGCCTTGAACTTAGCCCAGTCTCCTCCTGCTCCAGCAGCCACCTTCATTACCTCGGGCCGAGTTTCCCACCAGACGTACCTGGGTAGGAACTTGAATTTATCTGCCTCAGGCACCTCGGTCGTAACCTGCTCCAGCAACTTCAGCCACTCGGATACTTTGTCCCCATTAAAATGGAAGATGTTAACTTTCGGCACTTAAAGTCGTGCCAACTCCTTTTTCTCGAGTGCCTTAACGAAATCCTTTGGCGTAGCGGCCAGGCCACGCTCGATTTCATCAGCGTCCGGCATCTTCACCTCTTTTTGCTAACCAACCTGACAGGAGTAACAAGGGATAGATCGGTAAGCAGTTCATCGAGTTTAGAGGGTCTGCCCTACGTCCTTCTTGACCATCCTACCCTTAAGTTTAGCTGACCGCTCTACCATAGTCATTTACACCCGAGATACAACCTTTAGTCGCACTATACACCACTTAGTCTTATTATGACTTCATATACATCCCTCTTATATAAGCCAATCAAACCTATAACCTTTGTCGTTTTACCTAGATCATCAGCCTGCACTTAACCTGGGTTCGTTCTCTTAAGGACCCCGGTAGGCAGCCGAGATCCCCGGCAACGGCGCCACCTGTCGAGCGCATCGGTCCCACACGGAAACCCTCCCGGCCGCGTCACACAGGATTATGCAGGACTTGTCGCGGAGAGCGTTTGCCGCTCCGGCCGAGTGCGTCAGTCGTACCTCTCGCGAGCCCCTACGACAGGACAGGGTCACGCGAGGCACCGCTACCTCCACCTGCGGGAGTTGTCACCATCCCTTAGGTAGGTGTATCCCTGCCGAGCTACTGAACCACATGCGAAAGCTTTTCGTATGCAATTGCAGAGGTGGCGCAGCCGAGGGCGTTTCTCGTTCGCTGTAGCATAGGGGGTACGTGTGGTCGAAAGCTCGAAATCGAACCCGTACGCGAGTCGTCATACTGGGGGGCTGAAGTCCCAGACACGATTCTGCGCCGGTCGACTAGGATGCACTACACACCCACGCGTTACACTACAACACCCACGCTTACCCACGAGTAACATACGGACACACACACAACAATCTCCACAAATAACACCACAACACAACAACACTCCTAGTCCCTTCAGTTTCTGACCCATAACTCTACGCAGTGGAAGTCGGTAACTGCCTTGCGCGAGGTTTAGTATAAGGTCGCGCGAACGTAGGATCTACACATACCGATTTATAATGCAGTCCTACGCAGATAAAGGCGATGACGGCGCATTATGTGGTGCCCATACCCGAATGGTATATTCTGGGCCATGGGGTGGCTCACGACGCTCAGGCATTGGATGAAGCGCGCGCTAAGGGGGGGCGTACCCTTTTAGTGGGCGCAAAACCGGCCTGAGGGTCTTTTCGTCTTCTGCATCCTGAGGTGTCCCAAAGGGTGCGGGGTAAGATGGCCCCTAGGGCAGGAAGGAATACCTCATTCCAATGAAAAGTGGAAGAAGAAAAAGAGAAACAAAACAAAAACAGCTGGTCTGAAATAAAGAAAACAGGCCCAGCCTGTCAAGTAAGGGCCACCAGCCTACCAACCATGGTCTGAGGATCAGGCCCGGTGACCCAACCTGGTGGGCTAAGAATACCAATTCTTGACCCCGAAATCAACTCCCGCCAGGTCCAAACCAGAGAGAGGCAGCAGACATGGTTGGGTACAGCCCCTCATCAGCATGCCGCGGGCCATGCTAATCTGCTCTGTATCGTTCCAATTTTAACGGATGTCCCGAAGGACTGTTCCTTGATAGCGGTAGCCCCGCAGTAGCCCAGCAGTGGCCCAGCAGTTCGTGGGTGTCTCCACTGAATGATGCCGCTGGGGCTTCCTGCAGGCCCCGGCGCTGGTACAGGACCTCATTCTCAGATAACAGCAACAATAGGAAAATGAAGAAAGTAAAAAAAATAAAAATAAAATATATAAAAAAAAGTCAAACTCAGAAAAATGAAAAAGGGTTAAAACCCGGATGCGGGAGAGGACCGTTGGTACCCGGGCCTCGGCCTCACCTCTCGGGCCCGCGGTCGGAACCCCCCGCCAAAACCAAGGGGGATAGTCTCGTGGGACCCTCAACCCCTCATCCTTCTCCTTCGACATGTCCGCTGCCCCGCCGCTCTGCTCTGGCCTTGATCCCGGGATCCACCTGGTGGTAATCTAATGACATAACCTATAGGGCTAAGCCCCTGCCTGGCACAGCTGCAAGCCAGGTTCACTATGAAGAGTGGCGCCTGTTAGGTCAGCCTGCAGCAGAGTATCATAGGCCATCGGTTTGATTTATTACTGGCGCCTCAGGCCACGCAATGCCGTGCTGGCTGCCTCAGGGTTGGGCTCCGCTTGGCTCGCTATGTCCATCGCCCTTCATGCCGTGGTTGCGMCCCGAGGCTCTCCTAGCCCGCCATGATCGGCCCTCTTTTCGCCGCTCGCCAACAACCCCCGGACTTTCACTCTAGGTCGTGCCGCTCCCAGCGGCGGCTCATACTATAGACTAGGCATGGTCATCCTAGTGCCCACGAGTATCCCACACGGCGCCGTTTTGCACGTCGGCCTCTACTAAGTCAGACAACACCCTCCTCTAGTCACCGCCCCACCTGGTCAAGGCGACGCCGTCCTTACTTTAGCCCGTGCGTGCGAGGCTGCGACCGCCTCAGAAGCTCTAGCGTAGCACTAACTTTCTCTACCGGTGCCTTAAGGCCCGTCCTCGATCCAGATTAGGTCGGGCTAACGCGTGCCCACGAGTGCACGCCCATACATAATCAATACAAATGGGACACGCCCCTAGATATCGCCAGAGGCGTTATTCCTGCGAGATGCAAAAACGTGCCCAAATACCCTTGTAAGGGTATTCGGGCCGACACCGCTCCCGTCGGTTTTCCGCTTTTCTAACCGTCCTCCGTTCCACCTATAGGTCCGTGCCCTTTCATTGGCCCGTCTCCGCTCCTCCTTAGAGAACTCTCAGAGAGAATTTCTAACAACCGTATCAATGTGACATTTGTCCACACCTTTGCTTGTCTAAACAGTTGAGTCTTCTCTAGGCCTTCCGACGTTGCTTCCAGGAATCGAGCCTCCGTCGGGATCTTATCAGTACGACACAGGGGGCAGAGCCACGACTTCTGGGGATTCCTATGCTGGATTCATGCCCCGTGGGCTTTCGCTACACACTTAGCACAGTCTACCCATTCCACGTATCCCTCACCTTGTGGCTTCATAAACACCGAATATACTCGAGAGATGGATTCACAGAGAAAACAAAAATGGTCGGGTAGGGAAGGCAGGGAGGAAGAGGAAGGAAAGAGTGGGCCCTCAACGTTTCCTTCTCCTTGGGATGCC